ATATTCTTGAACAATTTGTTCTAAGAAATGTATACATTAATAAGGTTTTGCAAGGCTCAAGATGTACTCATGTTTTGATGTCAGTCTCAAGTCAGCCTCATGTTTTGATGTCAGCCTCAAGTCAGCCTCATGTTTTGATGTCAGCCTCAAGTCAGCCTCATGTTTTGATGTCAGCCTCAAGTCAGCCTCATGTTTTGATGTCAGCCTCAAGTCAGCCTCATGTTTTGATGTCTCATGATTTAAATCAAATTTAAATCATAAGAGTGTATCACATTTTTCATAAGAATATTATAATCCAATATATCCCAATATTATAATCATAAAATGCATAAAATCAAGTCATTTTGGCCAGTTTTTTCAGTCTTTTCTATAGAGTGTGTTGAAACAAAAACAAACTTTAAAAAAAAAAAAAAATTTTTAATTTTTTTCTCACATTTTTGTGACGCCAGTTTTTCATGCTATTATTTTTTTAATAAAAGTTAAATTATAAAATGTTTGAAGCAGAGTTGTTAGTCCTTGGCCTTGGCTTTGGCCTTGTCCTTGCCTTAAGGCCAAAAAAATGTCTTGGCCTTGAAACTCTTATTCTTGGCCATGACTTTAAAACTATTGGCCTTGTCCTTGGTCTTGTAACTTTTGGCCTTAGTCTCAGCCTTGGCCTTGTAACATTTGGCTTTGGTATTGGCCTTGCTACTTTTGGTCTTGCTAACAACTCTGGTTTGAAGCAAATTTGTAAATCTAACTAGATGTTTGTTTTGTTTTTTAACTTGTTTTACAAAACAGGATAGAGAATATTTGTTTCATTTCATTCTTTTATTAATTTGAATTATCTTATCTTACTTAAAATAAGTTTGCAGCAAAAAGGGAATTGCATGTAGACACCATGTTAAAAAGGAGAATTACATGTAGACTAGGGCTGCCAATTCGAACTCAAACACTTTCGAACTATTGAGGAAAAAAGTTCGAACTTTTTCAAACTTTTTTTTATAGATTTTATTTACTTAAAATTGAAAAGAAAAGGGTACAAGTAAAACACAAAACTGTTAATTTATTTGTAAAGACTTTTTATTTGTTTATAAAAAGTAAATGCAAGGTTTATAAAAGTAAATGCAAGGTTGCATCCTGCAACCAGTTTCTTTTTCTATGCGAAAACAATCCAAGGCATGAGAGCCCTTTAACGAGATCAAACCATTTGAAAATCATATATTTTAATAAAACATTTTTGGTTCTTCAGCTAGAGTCAATTCTTTGTTATAATTTCTAATATTGTTGCCATTTTTGGCTTTTTCATTAATATCGAGTTTATCTCTCTTATCTCTCTAATCGAGTTTATCTCTCTAAGCTGAAATAATCTTTGAATAAAATTAATTTGCAAAATTATCTATATTATTTCTTTGTATTTTGTTCTCAAACTGATTACTGATTTAAAACAACTTGTTTAACAAATTTATCATTTTTATGTACTAAGTTATTATTTTATTAATTTAATTTTTATTTTTTTTTTATTACATTTGAGTTTATTTTGTGCTTATTTTTAAGTGCCTTGTAATAGTGCGTGTTGAGGCACATTTTGCTCGTTGCAGCTTTTGGTAACAAATCAAAATACTCCTAAACTTCAGATCTTCTAGATGTGCTAACGCTGAATAGCCATTTTTTGTTTGAACTTAAAACTCTTTATAAATTAATTTCAAATGTAGATAAACAGTTGTAGTAAATAAACAGTAGTCAAATGGTGAAAATACCAGCCACTGTTTAACTACTTTTTAATAGTAAAAAACCGATCCCGCCTTAAGTGTGATGGTGCTACAGGTAATGTAATTTTGATTATTTTTTAGAATTTTTAGACAAGCACAAAACAAAACAAAAAAAATATTCAAATTTATAAATTTTACTTATATTTCAGCTTGTTTTACAAAAATTAACGAAAAGACATCATTTTTTAAATTTTAAAAGTTCTAACTATTAGGAGAAAAAAGTTTGAGTTTGAATGTTGAAATTTTGAAAAAGTTTGAATGTACGAACTTAAACATGTTCGAACTAGCAGCCCTAATGTAGACACCATGTTAAAAAAGGAATTGCATGTAGACACCATGTTAAAAGGAGAATTGCATGTAAGCACCATGTTAAAGAAAAAATCTAAATAGAAAAAAAAGTAACTAGCAAATAGAAAGAAAAAAACTGGCACTAGTTACAAAAGAGCCTACAAAGTCATTTCAATAACTGGGCAAACATGTAAATGCTTTTTAAAGGAATTTTTGTAGCATAAGAAATGCAATATATGTTTTTTATTAACACAAATTCAATTGACTTTACAGGCTGATAAGTTCTTTATAAAAAAAAATTATTTCTCAAAAGTAGCTATAAATGCCTTGGCCAGCTGATAGTCATTTACTTAGGTAGATTTTTTATGGGATTTAAATGCCTTGTTTTTGCCTTCCGCCATCTTTTGACTTCCATCATCTTCCATGATTTTTTGTTTAAGTAATTTATAATCCTGTACTTTGCTTTCTTAGCCTCCAGCTTGATTCATTTTTGCAAACAACATATCCTGATCTGTCTTGTAAAGATGTGTAGAAGCCATTAGTCTTGTATGAATTTTCATTTGTCAATAGCCTAGCATGGAGTAAAACATTCATTCATTCAAACATTCATACAGTACCAAAATAAATTTGATGAACTTTTGAAATTACATTTTACTTTTCATTATGCAATCATTATTTCTATATTTGTGGTACGTTGTGTGTTATTTATGGTACGTTGTGTGTTATTTGTGGTATGTTGTGTGTTATTTGTGATATGTTGTGTGTTATTTGTGGTACGTTGTGTGTTATTTGTGGTACATTGTGTGTTATTTGTGGTATGTTGTGTGTTATTTGTGGTACGTTGTGTGTTATTTGTGGTACATTGTGTTTTATTTGTGGTATGTTGTGTGTTATTTGTTGTACGTTGTGTGTTATTTGTGGTACATTGTGTGTTATTTGTGGTACGTTGTGTGTTACTTGAGCTAAAGTAATTTGTAGTTATTATTTTTATTAAAAAAATTTCTTTAAAAAATTTTCTATTATTTTTTTTTAAACGCTGTTCTATTGATTTTTTTTTCTTTATCCTATTGATTTTTCCTCTATATCCTTTTACTCATAAACTCCTGGCAATGGTTTTTAAAAAATATATAAAAGCAGAATTTTGAAATGTTGGGTTTAACATTTACTAACATTTTTAATGCAGTTAAAATGCAGTTTATCTTAATTTTTTAGTTTATATTTTGTAAAAAAAAAAAATAATATTTATAGTTTCTTGAACGATGTACAGAAGTTCTGAATCTACCTTCTGCAGCAAGACGATTGTTTTCATCTGAGGGAATAGAAATTTTTTCATTGTCTAACTTAAATGAAGATGATTTAGTTTATGTTTCATGTGGTGAAGTATGGATTAAACCATCACATGAAGAAGAAATGACACTTGCCAGTCTGATTTCTGATGTTAACAAAGTTCGTCAGTTTTCATTGTTTCGACAGCAAAATGGTATTCTCTTCTTTTATTTTGTTTCAAAATTTAAATCTTGTGTGTGTTTTAATGTCATTTTTCCACACACTTAAAATTTAAATTTTGCGCGTGTTTTGATCTCAATATTCCACATACTTAAAATTTAAATTTTGTGTGTGTTTTGAAATTTCACACATACTTTCGAGAAAGTGATCAATGGATAATGACATCTGTAATATATATGTTTTAAAAACAAAGCACGATTTTTACTACAATTTGTGTTATGCTTTTCGCAATCACCGGGGAAATTTAAAGTTTTTTATTTATATACAAAATTGTACTCGATGATTGCAAATAGTATATTTATGTTGTTTTTTTTAAAGATTTATATTTATTGTTGTATATTTCTTTTTAAACTTCATGTTCATGTTAAATGTATATATGCAGTATATATGTAGTATATATAATGCTTTTATGTATATATGCAGTATATATGTAGTACAAATAATGCTTTTATGTATATATGCAGTATATATGTAGTATATATGATGCTTTTATGTATATATGCAGTATATATGTAGTATATATAATGCTTTTATGTATATATGCAGTATATATGTAGTACATATAATGCTTTTATGTATATATGCAGTATATATGTAGTATATATAATGCTTTTATGTATATATGCAGTATATATGTAGTACATATAATGCTTTTATGTATATATGCAGTATATATGTAGTATATATAATGCTTTTATGTATATATGCAGTATATATGTAGTATATATAATGCTTTTATGTATATATGCAGTATATATGTAGTATATATAATGCTTTTATGTATATATGCAGTATATATGTAGTATATATAATGCTTTTATGTATATATGCAGTATATATGTAGTATATATAATGCTTTTATGTATATATGCAGTATATATGTAGTATATATAATGCTTTTATGTATATATGCAGTATATATGTAGTATATATAATGCTTTTATGTATATATGCAGTATATATGTAGTATATATAATGCTTTTATGTATATATGCAGTATATATGTAGTATATATAATGCTTTTATGTATATATGCAGTATATATGTAGTATATATAATGCTTTTATGTATATATGCAGTATATATGTAGTATATATAATGCTTTTATGTATATATGCAGTATATATGTAGTATATATAATGCTTTTATGTATATATGCAGTATATATGTAGTATATATAATGCTTTTATGTATATATGCAGTATATATGTAGTATATATAATGCTTTTATGTATATATGCAGTATATATGTAGTATATATAATGCTTTTATGTATATATGCAGTATATATGTAGTATATATAATGCTTTTATGTATATATGCAGTATATATGTAGTATATATAATGCTTTTATGTATATATGCAGTATATATGTAGTATATATAATGCTTTTATGTATATATGCAGTATATATGTAGTATATATAATGCTTTTATGTATATATGCAGTATATATGTAGTATATATAATGCTTTTATGTATATATGCAGTATATATGTAGTATATATAATGCTTTTATGTATATATGCAGTATATATGTAGTATATATAATGCTTTTATGTATATATGCAGTATATATGTAGTATATATAATGCTTTTATGTATATATGCAGTATATATGTAGTATATATAATGCTTTTATGTATATATGCAGTATATATGTAGTATATATAATGCTTTTATGTATATATGCAGTATATATGTAGTACATATAATGCTTTTATGTATATATGCAGTATATATGTAGTATATATAATGCTTTTATGTATATATGCAGTATATATGTAGTATATATAATGCTTTTATGTATATATGCAGTATATATGTAGTATATATAATGCTTTTATGTATATATGCAGTATATATGTAGTATATATAATGCTTTTATGTATATATGCAGTATATATGTAGTATATATAATGCTTTTATGTATATATGCAGTATATATGTAGTATATATAATGCTTTTATGTATATATGCAGTATATATGTAGTATATATAATGCTTTTATGTATATATGCAGTATATATGTAGTATATATAATGCTTTTATGTATATATGCAGTATATATGTAGTATATATAATGCTTTTATGTATATATGCAGTATATATGTAGTATATATAATGCTTTTATGTATATATGCAGTATATATGTAGTATATATAATGCTTTTATGTATATATGCAGTATATATGTAGTATATATAATGCTTTTATGTATATATGCAGTATATATGTAGTATATATAATGCTTTTATGTATATATGCAGTATATATGTAGTATATATAATGCTTTTATGTATATATGCAGTATATATGTAGTATATATAATGCTTTTATGTATATATGCAGTATATATGTAGTATATATAATGCTTTTATGTATATATGCAGTATATATGTAGTATATATAATGCTTTTATGTATATATGCAGTATATATGTAGTATATATAATGCTTTTATGTATATATGCAGTATATATGTAGTATATATAATGCTTTTATGTATATATGCAGTATATATGTAGTATATATAATGCTTTTATGTATATATGCAGTATATATGTAGTATATATAATGCTTTTATGTATATATGCAGTATATATGTAGTATATATAATGCTTTTATGTATATATGCAGTATATATGTAGTATATATAATGCTTTTATGTATATATGCAGTATATATGTAGTATATATAATGCTTTTATGTATATATGCAGTATATATGTAGTATATATAATGCTTTTATGTATATATGCAGTATATATGTAGTATATATAATGCTTTTATGTATATATGCAGTATATATGTAGTATATATAATGCTTTTATGTATATATGCAGTATATATGTAGTATATATAATGCTTTTATGTATATATGCAGTATATATGTAGTATATATAATGCTTTTATGTATATATGCAGTATATATGTAGTATATATAATGCTTTTATGTATATATGCAGTATATATGTAGTACATATAATGCTTTTATGTATATATGCAGTATATATGTAGTATATATAATGCTTTTATGTATATATGCAGTATATATGTAGTATATATAATGCTTTTATGTATATATGCAGTATATATGTAGTATATATAATGCTTTTATGTATATATGCAGTATATATGTAGTATATATAATGCTTTTATGTATATATGCAGTATATATGTAGTATATATAATGCTTTTATGTATATATGCAGTATATATGTAGTATATATAATGCTTTTATGTATATATGCAGTATATATGTAGTATATATAATGCTTTTATGTATATATGCAGTATATATGTAGTATATATAATGCTTTTATGTATATATGCAGTATATATGTAGTACATATAATGCTTTTATGTATATATGCAGTATATATGTAGTATATATAATGCTTTTATGTATATATGCAGTATATATGTAGTATATATAATGCTTTTATTTATTTATAAATAATGAAACAAATATTATGTATAGATAATATTTTTAATATATTTTTTTATGTAGGTTTAATTGTATCTGCACCTAATGATATGTCTAAATACACAAGTTTGCATTTAATAGAGGAACCTTCTGTGAAACCAGATGAAAACAAAATTGAGTTCCAAAATAAGTAAAAATTTTAATGTACAGTATTTATAATATCTATTAGTCTAATTTTCTAGTCTACAGTTTAACAATTTAATTGTTGTTTTAATCATTATTTTAATAGTGGAAATTTTTTTTTTTTTTTAGCAGATTGTAATCTTAAATATTAAGATTAAAAAAAAAACAATCTCATAAATAATAACTTAAAAATATAAAAACTTAGTTCAAGTTATTATCAGCTTGTTTTTAACAAAATCTGATTTTTTTAAATCTGGAAAAAAGTTTTCTCTTAAACTTAAGTTAAAGTATTGTGAAACCATTATTACAAACATGATGTTTTATAAACATGGTGTTTTACAATCAAAGTTTAATCTCCTATACCAAGCTATAACAAACTCACTTACACGTCTTTCACCTCACGCTATTAACTTGCTTCCATTATTTCATTTTAAAAAAATTTAAATGAATATTAATTAAATAGATGAAGAGAAAAAAGATTTTTATTTAGGGTAGAAGATGAAAAGCAGTATAACGTATGTCTTTACAAATGGGTGTATGCTGATGAATTCATTCATTTGAAGGAAAATCCAAATTATGTTATTAATATTTATAACAACCAGGTTAGTTAATATTTTTCATGTAGATATTATTTTTGTTTTTCATAAATTCAACTAATAAATAATTGGGTTTGTTTTATATTAATGGAATAGATATTCTATATTATGAGCCTTAAAAATTTCTTGTGATTTAAAATATATATTTTATATCATGAGTCATACAAATCTCTCTGTGATTTATATTGCATGGTGTAATAATATCATAATAATGCAAGGTGTAGTAATAATATAACAATAATATATAATAATATAATATTGCTATACTATTGTCTAATTATAATTAAAATATACTGAATCATAATAATCATACAGTCACGATCAAAAGTTTGAGACATTTTAAAAATTTACAAAAAATTTGAAATATTTGTTTAAAAACATTTTTCTACATTCAAAATTTTGAGTATTATTATTATATACATGCAAAATGTTACGTTAACCACTAAATTTGTTTTAGTCATAGCTTATTGTTATATTAGCAAATAATAATAAAATATTTATGGGGAAAACTAATGAATTAACAACAGAAAAACGTGCTCTGATTTATATTCTACGTGAACAAGGATTGAACCTGACATTAATTGCTGCACGTTTTAACATAAAACACATAACTGCATTATAAAAACATTGAAGCGATATCAAGAAACTGGTGATTTTAAAAGCAAACTATAACTTGACGACCAAAGATGACCACTCAAAAGGCAGATAATTGCATTCATCGTTATGCAAAAGCACATCCTTTTGCCAGTGTTTCTGAAATTTCATCTGAGATATTCTCAACTGGTGTTGCACCAAGTGTTGTGACAATTAGAAGGCGTTTGTGCAAACAGTTTAACTTAAATAGCCATGTTCCGGAAAAAAAAACCTTTTCCAAAAAAATATTAGAGACCAAATTGCCTTCTGTCAAAATTACAAGCATTGGTCAGCGGCAGATTGGGAGGATGTAATATTTAATGACGAGTCACTAATTAAAAAATTTGGTTGTCGTTCTACAATCGTTAGACACCTGCCTTGCCAACGATACAACCCCAAGTATTTGTTTTTTACTGTAAAACATTGTCCTAAAATCATGATATGGGGTGCCATTACAGCAAATCAAACTGGTAGTTTACGGTTTATGCCTCCTAACACCACAATAAACAGCCATAATTATCTTGAAATACTTAAAGAAAAACTTAAAACATTCATGAACATCACAAATACCCACAAGTTTCAGCATGACAAAGCACCCTGTCACAGGACCAAGCTTGTGAGCAGTTGGTTGCGTGAGAATGATGTTGAGATCATATGGCCCCTGGCCTGGCAACTCATCCGACCTCAATTCCAATGAAAACTGCTGGAATCATCTTAAAAACAAAGTTCAGAAACTATGACCCTCATCTTTGGATGATCTTTAAGAAAAAACTAGGCAGGTGTAGACTCAACCTATGACTCCTGAATTTTAATGCTAAAGGAAATCATACCAAGTATTAACCTGAAGTATTCAATTCATAAACATTAAATAATGTTTCAAAGATATTCTTTTTGTCAATTGTAAAGGATTTTGATAAAATAAATAAATAATTTAATGAAAATTGTGTTTTTTTATGGAATGTTCCAAACTTTTGATCGAGACTGTATGTATTAATAAATTATATTAAAATTGTGTTAGCACAGCTTGTTCTTTATGTCAACTTTGTTATATTAAACTTGTTCTTTATGTCAACTTTCAAATAGGTGTAATCTGCTAATTTTTGTTTTATATGAAAAATATTTAAGAAAAATGTGAAGTTTTTACTGTTATTTTAAAAATTGTTTGGGTGATTTTATTATTTTTTTATTTGTTTTTTATTTTCTTAATCTTGCATGACTTACACAAATGCTTTTTTATGAAGGAAATATTTGGAAACAAATTTTTTTTGTTCGTGGTATTTATTCAGAATAGTAAAACTTCAAATAAAATAAGTTCAAAATAAAAAAATAATAAAATGGAATAAAAAATTATTTAAAGTATTATACAAAATAAAAAAGTTAAAAGTTTTATATTCTTTTGATTGTCTAATTGTTATTCGAAGTTTATTGTATAAAAAGTAAAATAAAATTTCAATGACTTTTGAATGAAATTTTTTATTTTTTGTCTAACACAGTGGGCCAGAATTGAATGTAACTAGTCAAAGCTTGTGTATAAATGTTTTGCCCAGTCGACCAAACAAAACTTCCAAGTGTAGAATCTAACTATCAAGTTGATAAGAATATTTTTTACGTTTTTTTGTACAGTTTGATCTACCAATGTTTGGAATTTTGCTGCTGCAGAATAATTTTTTGCCATCCATAATTTACATTTACACAAACACCTCTCATTTACCTCACACACATATGTCACAAACACCTCTATTACCTCACACATGCATATGATATCACAAACACCTCACACTTATTAAATGACCGGGGCTGGTATTTGATATGGTTGGGGCTGTATAAATATTGGTGCATATTGATATGATATGTAAAAATAAGTCAATATGCACCAATATTTATGCAGTCCCGTCGGTAGAACCCTCCTAGGCCACACTCAAATTCCAGCCCCAGTCATTTACTACTTACACTCATATAAAATAGTTCAGTGTTGTTATTAGAAATTTTTTGCTTTTTTTGCTTCTTTCTTGCTTTTCTTCTATCATCCTTCCACCATCATCCATCCTTCCACCATCCATCATCCATCCTTCCACAGATGTGTGCTACTAGCATACAATAACTCACATAGATTCGAAGCTGAAAAAGTTGCAACTTTTCTTTTCTTTGTTTTTATAGATAAATCTTGAAATGCTAATGTAGGTCTGTCAAGTTGTTTATTTTTATTCTCCTCCATTAATATGGTAATAAAATTCAAGGTAATTTTTTCTAATAAACTTTTCAGTAGTGCAATTACTTTGAGTCCATTTCTTACTATTCGCAGAAATAGTTAAATTTTCAGAATCTATTTCTGCGAATATTAAGAAATGGACGAGCAGCCGTGGTGCAGTGGTTAGAGTTCTGGCTCAGAACCCAGAGGGCCGAGGTTCGACACGGCTCTACCCCAATAAGCAACATTGGTAAGGAAGGTGGCATGAACTACTAGTTAAATGCTCTCTGTACTATGAAAAAAATTTTATGAGTACATTCTTGTCACAGCTGATGTTATATCTTTGTATATAAACATTCCTCATTGCGAAAGTATTGACGCCATGAAATTTTATACATGACCATGCATAAATTTTCAATTTTATACATGGTTATGTATAAAATTGTTTTAATACATAACCATGTATTTTAATACGGAGTACTAAAATACATGGTGCTCTATGCTCTATGTAAGGACTTCTGGGAGCACCTAAATGACAAAAAAATAAATAAAAACTTTTCCCTGAAACTTCAAATATTATTCTTTAATAAAGTTATTGACCGTATTATATGTTTTTTGCATGTTTGTTTTTTGCATGTTTGTTTTTTTAATTTTGTAAGAATTTTTGTTCTGAATTACAAACTTTACTCAGATACAGTAATTCAAGTTAATGAGGTATAAAACCATGATGTAGAAAAAAATATTTAAAAGTTATACAATAAAATATAACACATTAAGCATATTTAAACTTGTTATAAAAGTTACCAATATTAGTGTAACACCTTTTAAAATGCTGATAACATAGAGTAACATAATATTTTAAAAAGCACAATATTTAATGTAAATATTTATTATTTTTACATTTTTCTCTTTATAATTTTTTTTCTTTTAGTCTATATATGATGCCTCCACTTTAATCAAATAATTTTTCTATTCATTTTAAGTGTAAATAAATAAATTGATATCTTTATAATGGCTCAAAACTATTATAACATCCAAAATCTTACATATGTATTTATAGTTTGGTCCATTCTTTTTTTTGCGGTTGTTTTTTCTTTTTATACAAATTTTTGATACAATTAAGTACGTAAGTTCTATGTTTATGAAGTAAATTCTGCAGCTTCAAACGTTGGTAAATTCTGCAGCTTCAAATTTTTGATAGGTATAGCAGTTGTGGTGTAGTGGTTAGAGTTCTGGCTTCAAGTAGATCAAGTGGCCATATATGCATTGTTGGTTAGAAAAGAGAACTAACAAGTTTAAAAGTTTTTCAAAATTGTTATTAAGACTTCGAATGTTTACGTGTAGTATCATAATTTTATTTAAACATTTGTCATAAACATTTTTAAAAAGAAACCCTTCTAAATCGCTTGGAAAGTGATATGAGCAATCCGTAAGCGCCTCGTAGGAATAGTTTATATCGGGGTCTATATTTACATCATTTATTTCATTAAAGTTAAAACGCATGGATTTAAAGTCACTGATTCCAGCCATGTTTTTTTTTTAAATATAATTTTATTTGAGCATTATATAACGTTATAAGTATTTGATTGTATTATGAGAATGAGAGGTTTAACTTTCTGGTTAAATCCTATTCTGCTGTGCTTCGTGACTTTTAGGACGCCTAAATAACTAACAAAAAAACTAGAAATAAAAAGGAGAAAAAATAGTGAAAATTCTTATTCTTTTTTTTGGAGCAAACTTTGTTTATACTAGGTCAACCAATTTTTAAGTTTGGTGTTTGTATTATTATAAAATATATGACAGCAATGTTGATTATTATTCTTAATGGTCAGTTTTAGTGAGTAAAAGTTATTTTTAATAATAAAAGGCAGTAAAGTATCCCATATGCACCTACAAGTATCCAATATGCACTTACAAGTATTCGATATGCACTTACAAGTATCCAATATGTACTTGCAGCACTTCTGTAAATAGATGATGGGAACTATTTAATAAATAATCCAAGAAAATGAGCAACAAATTGATTTAAAATTTCATCTCTAAAATTTCATCGTTTTTAAGTGTTTTAATCAAATCAATTATAAGCAAGCCAGTCAAAAGTCAATTATATGCAAGTCAATTATATGCAAGTCAATTATATGCAAGTCAATTATATGCAAGTCAATTATATGCAAGTCAATTATATGCAAGTCAATTATATGCAAGTCAATTATATGCAAGTCAATTATATGCAAGTCAATTATATGCAAGTCAATTATATGCATGTCAATTATATGCATGTCAATTATATGCATGTCAATTATATGCAAGTCAATTATATGCATGTCAATTATATGTAAAGTCAATTATATGCAAGTCAATTATATGCATGTCAATTATATGTAAAGTCAATTATATGCAAGTCAATTATATGCAAGTCAATTATATGCAAGTCAATTATATGCAAGTCAATTATATGCAAGTCAATTATATGCAAGTCAATTATATGCATGTCAATTATATGCATGTCAATTATATGCATGTCAATTATATGCAAGTCAATTATATGCATGTCAATTATATGTAAAGTCAATTATATGCAAGTCAATTATATGCATGTCAATTATATGTAAAGTCAATTATATGCAAGTCAATTATATGCATGTCAATTATATGTAAAGTCAATTATATGCAAGTCAATTATATGCATGTCAATTATATGCATGTCAATTATATGCAAGTCAATTATATGCATGTCAATTATATGCAAGTCAATTATATGCATGTCAATTATATGTAAAGTCAATTATATGCAAGTCAATTATATGCAAGTCAATTATATGCAAGTCAATTATATGCATGTCAATTATATGCAAGTCAATTATATGCATGTCAATTATATGCAAGTCAATTATATGCATGTCAATTATATGTAAAGTCAATTATATGCAAGTCAATTATATGCATGTCAATTATATGTAAAGTCAATTATATGCAAGTCAATTATATGCATGTCAATTATATGCAAGTCAATTATATGCATGTCAATTATATGTAAAGTCAATTATATGCAAGTCAATTATATGCAAGTCAATTATATGCAAGTCAATTATATGCAAGTCAATTATATGCAAGTCAATTATATGCATGTCAATTATATGCAAGTCAATTATATGCATGTCAATTATATGCAAGTCAATTATATGCATGTCAATTATATGTAAAGTCAATTATATGCAAGTCAATTATATGCATGTCAATTATATGTAAAGTCAATTATATGCAAGTCAATTATATGCATGTCAATTATATGCAAGTCAATTATATGTAAAGTCTGTTTGATCTTACTCAAAATACTTAATATTTATTTTATAGACTACTGCAAATGAAGATCTTGTTATTTGTAAGCGTCAGATTGATATCCCTACTCAAAGATGGACTTTAGAAATGGATGGGTAATTTTATCAACTGTTTTTTTTAAAACAATTTTTTTTTATGTTACAAAAACATTGAGTTTAACAAAGGTTCAAAGTTCTTAAGAAAAAATAGATAATGAGTAATATTTATATATAAATATATATAAATAATTTATAAATAAATTAATGTAAAAATATATAAATAGTTTATAAATAAATTAATGTAAAAATATATAAATAGTTTATAAATAAATTTTATTGGAATTATTTTAGATCAATTCATTCTAAAGCTAATCCACAGTTAGTTATGGCAGTGTGCATGCCCGTAGTTAAAAATGACAATTATAAAAATGTTTTCAAAGATGCGCGACTTATAGTTACTAATAAAAAAATTTTAGTTAATGGAAATTCAAATCAACTTTTTAAGATTGATGAAATTTCGGGGTTTATGAAAGCTTTTGCAGCTGATCAAGTTAATATTGGTGAGTCACATTTCTTTTCTTTTTTTTTTTATACTTTATAACTAAGTCCTGATTATGAGGTTCTAGGTTAGAACTGATAAAGCAAAGAAAGTAATATGGTGTAAGGGTTGATTAATAATAATTTTTCTTTTTTATTATTAGGTTTAATAATAGATGTTATTAATAATGTAAAAAATTTTTTGTCTTGAAACATTTCTTTCTAATTGATGTATTTATTTGGATGACTCAAATGTTTTTCTTTTTTACAACTTATTACAATATCATTAAATCAAGTTTTTTTTTTTTTTTGATGCTTTTTCATGTATCTATGACTCCTGTAATTTATAAGAATTTTCCATCCCACTTTTCCTAAGGGGATGCAGATCTACCTTGCTTGTTAATATTTTTAAAGCAGGTTTCCCAAGGCCCCCTCGGGCATTTGGGAGGTAAATAATTACAAAATTACATTAAAAAAAAAGAAAAGAAAAGGAAGATAAAGTTTAGCATTATGATGTTTTTATTTAGAAGTGACTGCTTCCAATAAAACAGGTGTTTGCACATTTGCGGTATTTGGTGAAAACAAAATTATTCAACCAGTGAGTAAAATGTATTTATTATTTTTTTAACACAAAAAGTTTATACAATTCAGTGTCATTTTATTAAATTCTCATTCTTTTTTATTATCAGTATCTCCCTATCATTGTACCTATTACAGTATCTCCCTATCATTGTACCTATTACTACCTTAAAACTGACTTTAGGTAGAAATATTTTACTTTTCAATTGACAAATTTACTTCTTATGTAACTTCTTGGATTCAGGCCAGCATGGAATCTTTGATTCCCTCTCAACAATTTTAAGGCAAGCCTCACTCTTCTCCATGGTTTTCCTCTCCATGTGCTGATGCAATTTCCAATCGTAACCATTACTTCCATATCTATTGATATAACAATTCTCCAGAAAACCATTGTAAAAAGTTTTTGTCTAATGCCAAAAAGCTCTTATTCTTAAATTTTATCTCCAGACTTTTGGAGAATCTCATATTTTATCTCAAAAACTAAGTTCCAGAGACTTCTGGAGAATCTCATATTTTATCTCAAAAACTAAGTTCCAGAGACTTCTGGAGAATCTTTAACAATGCCTGTAATAAGAGCAAATCTATTATTCCTTCTCTCTTGCATGGTTCAGATTTACCTCACCTAAAGACAAAACTGAGTTTTAGGCTAAGAATTTTTTACCAACCTTATATCTTGATTCCACTAATTATATTCTACTTATATAGCTGACAAACAGGTTGATCCGTTGCTTAACATTAGTATTACTCCAGCATCTGTGTCTAAAGTGATTTTCTGCTTCGACTCTTCTACATTTTGTGGTCTGGGCAACCTACCTGTTATAGCCTTGCAGAAGTGTTCTCCAGAACTGTTGTCTATACTTTTAAAACTATTTATCAAGTGCTTAGCTCTTGATAAATAGTTTTAAAAGTCTTGTTTTCCAGCCTGCTGGAAAACAAGACTATATTTGTCTTAAGAGTCTTGTTTTCTAGCCTGCTGGAAAGGGGAATCTCCTATTCCTTTTTTCAAATATTCAAATAAATCAATCTAACTCATTTAAAAAATTTTCAACTAATCATTATCATAACAATCTAGATCTTTCTATATTTATGGGCAGTAATGTACTTGATGAGTCATCTACTCTTCATCTTGTAGGATTAACTTCGACTTCCGATTTTTTTTTGTAAACCAAATATAAAATCTGTTGCAGAATTAGTACCTGCTATGGTTGCATCTCTTTATCATGTTTGCCACTTTCTTACTACAGATTCTATTCTTTATCTCTGTAAATCTCAAATCCATCCTTGTATGGATTATTGTTGTCATATCTGAAGTGAATCTTCGAATAATACCCTTTCTCTTTTAGACAAGGTGCAAAAATGCATTGTAAACACAGTTGAACCTGCTCTCGCAGCCACAATTCAACTTTTAGTTATTCCGAGTTTGCTCTCTTCATCTTGTTTTCCTGATTCATATAATTTGCAATCAAGTTGTCTGTCAATGCTTACTTGCAGCCTTGTTGGAAGTGAAGACATTCAAAAAAAAAAAAAATTTTAATTCATTTTATTAGGAAATTTGGTGTTGGTGCTTTGTTAGCAAAACATTTCTTTACCTTTAACATTACATTACAACTTCTGCGTTTCTCAATCTCTTACTCAGATAGTTAACTTTGTGACTCGTTTTCCTGACAACCCTAATCATTTACCTTCACTCCTTGACTTATGTCTTGTCTCTGACCCTAGCTTATGTTCAGTTTCTCCCTTTTCTCCCTTAGGTGGTTCTGACCACGCAATGATCTCTGTAAATCTTTCTTCTCGTACTTCTTTTTTGGGCTCACCTTATCATCGCACCACCTACTACTACCCTAAAGCTGACTGGGATTCCTTTCGTGATTTTCTTTGTGATGATCCTTGGGCTGATGTTTTTTCTCTCTCAGCTGACAAATGCGCCTCCTACGTAACCTCCTGGATTCAGGCTGGAATGGAAGCTTTTATTCATTCTCGTCGGTTTCAAGTCAAGCCTCATTCTACTCCATGGTTTTCTCCTTCTTGTGCGGCTGCTATATCCAATTGTAACCATTTTTTTCATCTTTTTTCAAAAGAACAACTCTCTTGAGAACAAACGGCTATTTATTATTGCAAGAAATCGATGTAAAAAGGTGCTTTCTGATGCTAAACTCCATTATTCTCAGTTCACTAAATCTCGCATCTTATCGCAGAAGTTAGGCTCTAAAGACTTTTGGAAAATCTTCAACAACATTGTTAACAAGGGTAGATCTAACATTCCATCTCTCATTCATGGGACTGATCTTGTTACCTCTCCCAGGGATAAGGCAGAACTGTTTGCAAAGAACTTTTCTTCTAATTCCACTCTTGAATCTTATGGACATTCTCTTCCTTCCATTCCAGTCAAACAGGTTGACCCATTGTTAGACATTCAAATCACTCCGGCTTCTGTTGCTAAAGTCATATCTCAATTAAACTCGTCTACAGCTTGTGGTCCAGACAACATTCCTGTCACAGTCTTGCAGAATTGTTCTCCAGAACTTTCTTCAATTCTCTCTAAACTATTTAACAAGTGTTTGACTGAGTCTTGTTTTCCTGCTTGTTGGAAAATGGCATCTGTGGTTCCAATATTCAAAAACTCTGGAGAAAATTCTGACCCCTCCAATTATCGTCCGATCAGTCTTCTTTCTGTTATTAGCAAGGTCTTTGAGTCTTTGATCAACAAATTCCTCACATCTCATCTTGAGTCAAATAAACTGCTGTCAGACAATCAATACGGTTTTCGATCCTCTCGCGCTAAAGCCGACTTGCTAACTGCTGTAACTGAAAGATTTTATCGTGCATTAGATAGAGGCGGTGAGGCTAGGGCTATTGCTCTCGACATATCTAAAGCTTTCGACAAAGTTTGGCATGCTGGTCTTCTCCATAAGCTTGCTTCATATGGTGTTTCTGGGAAAGTTTTTGAGATTATCAAATCATTTCTTTCTGACCGGTTTATTAAAGTCATCCTTGAAGGCCAACACTCTTCTTTATTTCCAGTAACTTCTGGGGTTCCCCAAGGTTCCATCCTGGGCCCTGTTTTGTTTCTTATCTACATAAATGATCTTCCTGACAACCTTTCATCTAAAGTAGCTCTTTTTGCTGATGAATCAACTTTATACTCCTGTCTTGACAAAAAGTCTTCTCTTTTCGATCGCCTAGAACAAGCAGCTGATCTTGAATCTGATCTCACTTCAGTAATAGATTGGGGTTCACAGTGGCTTGTGAATTTCAACTCTAAAAAAACCCAATTGCTTACTGCAAACAACTACCGTAGTATGGTCAACATTCCTATATTAATGAATGGCAATCCTCTTACTGAGTCGTCCTCTTTACGTCTTCTTGGATTATCGCTTACTACTGACCTTTCATGGAAACCATATATACAATCGATTGCTAAATTAGCTTCTGCTAAGGTTGCTTCTCTTTATCGTGCTCGCCATTTCCTTACTTCTGATTCCATTCTCTACCTCTACAAATCTCTTATTCGTCCCTGTATGGAATACTGTTGTCATATTTGGGCTGGTTCTTCTAACGATTCACTTTCTCTTCTTGACAAGGTCCAAAAACGCATTGTAAATGTTGTTGGACCTGGACTATCTGCTAAGCTTGAACCTCTTTCCCATCGTCGTAAAGTTGCATCTCTTTCTCTTTTCTACAGATACTATCATGGTCACTGCTCAAAGGAGTTATCATCTCTAGTTCCATCAACTAAAATTCATTCTCGTTTTACTCGTCATTCAGCTAAGTCTCATTCGTTTACTGTATCTGTCCCAGCATGCTCTAAAAACTTTTATTCATCTAGTTTTTTTCCCCGCACTTCAATCCTTTGGAACTCTCTCCCATCTTCATGTTTTCCTGACTCCTACAACCTTCAACTTTTCATGTCTTCTGTCAACCGTTTCCTTGCTTTATAATTCTGTTCTTTTTTTTTCCTAGTAACTCCCAACTTAATAGTGGTTGCTTGCAGCCTTGTTGGGAGTGAATGCAAATAAAAAAAATAAAAAAAAAAAAAAATTATATTGGTTTACCTTTAAAATTATTTAAAATTATTGGTTGATCTTTTATTACTTTGTTTGGCTTTAGTTTCTGTTATTTGTTAATTATTTTATTTTGTGATAAACAATATCAGAAAACAACATTAGTTATTTTTTATTTTAGAAGAGAGCGTTGGACATTTTTTGTTGTGTAGATTTTAAACACAGATTTTTTAAAGTTTTACTAATCATAAAAAAAATATTGCAATAAAGAAAATAATAAAATTTTTAAGATTACCAAACTCTTTGATGCGCAATTGTGTTTTTATTTGAAAGGGTTTTGTTTGGAAAAAGCAAAAGCGTGATGGTTCTATAAAAAAGATATTGCTTTGTGAGAGTTGTGGAATTGTTGTTCGTGGAAGCAAAAAGTTAGAAGCAATTAATGGTTTTGTAGAATTTTCCTGTGCTATTGGAAATGGTAATAGTTTTATATATAATTAAAAAAAAATTAAACTTTTTTATATATACTTGTTTGTAGTCTAATAAATGATTTTAAGAAAATAATTTTTCTAATTCTTCTCTATTCATATTTCTTAAATATAAAAAAAGTGTTATTTAAATTCAAAGAGTTTATTAGAAATTTATTTTTTTAATATTTTTAGCAAAAAAAAATAAAATAAAAATTAAGGGATCATTTTTATGTTTAAACAATCGAATTGATCTTTCTCCTCCGCAACTTGAATCAACATTATTTTTATGTGAAAAACTTCTTGAACTTCGACAAGATGCTGGTACTTGTAAAACTGTTAATAAAGTAATACCAAGTAATCCTGCAGTAAGGATTCTTGCTCACAAAAATGGCTGCAATGATGATGGGGTTCTAGTTATCGGAAATTCTATTCAACAGGTTGTTGTTTTTTTCATTTGTAACCTCCATTTAAGCGAGTTTTTTTTTTTTTCTTTTTTTTGAAAGGAAATTTTTTAATTTATAGTTTTTTCAAATCTATGGTAGTATACATATAATACTGAAATACTTTTACAAACATAAAAAAAAAAATAATTGCTAAATTTTACTTATTACTAGTTCTTTATTTATTTATTCATTTTCTAGCTTTAATATATAAAGTCAAAAAAATTCAAAAACAAACAAAATAAACTTTCAATGCAATTTGTTTTTTTGGTTTTGCCATCTACCGAATGAATGTAAAAAAGCAACATTAAAAACATACTTTTACTAGCATCACAGTAAGTGGATATCAAGAACGTAATATTATGGGCATAACATTATGTTCTTAACATCATCATTATGTGACATCATCATATATAATCATCATTAATGATATTAATCATATTAATATATTTTTTTTTCTTATGGAAATAAATTACCAACAAATTCATAAACATCAAGTCATTATTATTATTATTTTTATTTGAGCGAGAAATTGAGTTATTGAGAAGATAGAAAAGGAGGGAGTTCTGTAGAATTTTTCAAAAAGTTTTAAAGTTAGATTTTGGAAACTCTAGCATCACCATGTATTCATGACAAGCATCACATCCACATAATAACAACCCACATCACTTACATGAGGTAATTTGGTAACTAAACAATGGAGGTGCTAGTATAAAGTGCTTTAGTATAATGTTGAAAGAACTTTTTACATACATAAGAACTCATATATTTTAGATTACATACATAAGAACTCATATATTTTAGATTACATACATAAGAACTCATATATTTTAGATTACATACATAAGAACTCATATATTTTAGATTACATACATAAGAACTCATATATTTTAGATTACATACATAAGAACTCATATATTTTAGATTACATACATAAGAACTCATATTTCATACATGAAGACTCATATTTTTTATGCATGAGACCTCACATATTTCATAAAACATGTTAATAGATTTGAATTAGATTTATACCTTTTTAATATTATAATAATTGTTAAGAATACTCATGAGAAAGTTTTCTTACATTTATAATTGTTTTATTAGTTAAGAATATTTTGGTTATTGTTACATCATTTCATCAATTTATCGTCACATTATCTCATCTTTTTTCACTTTACTCAAAAAATGGCTAAAATTAAAAAAATTAAAATTAATTTTTTTTTAAACTTAAATATTTTTTTATAAAAAAGTTGTAATTAAAATTTTCTATTATATTTAATTATGTGTTTCTATGTGTTAATAATACATTTCATACATACCTAATATATTTTATACATTTTGTTTGCTATGCCTACTATATTACATATATTTTTATATATTTACATATTTTTATATATTTACTATATTGTTTATTTAACTTTAGTTATTAGATCAATGCACTTCCAAACTAAATCTTTCACAATCAGCTCGTCTCCTCTTTCTTATGAATGGTGAATTAGTAACTAATATGAATCAAATTCTGAAGCCATACTACCCAGAGTTAACTTATATTAAGCAAGGCTTTCTTCAGGTTTTAAAGTTTGTTTATACTTTATATACTTTATTCGTGCAAAGGTTTTATTTTATTACAATGTTATGAATTTAATTAATATTAAAACTCTGAATTTCTAAATTCACTTAGTAGAAGCTCCAAAAGTTTTTACAGAGGATAAATTTAACATAATATCATAGTTGAAAAAAAAAGTTAAATTTTAATATAATAATAAGCATGTTTGAAGACAATATTTTAAAAACTGTTTGATTTTTAAAGATTTTGAATGAAGAAAATAATGATATTGAACGACTTGATGTTAGAATTCCAGTTGATGTTTGGGTTTCAGTTGGAGAATCCTACATACCTCTTCAAGGTAATTTTTTTTTAATGAAAAAAATTGTGTTTTAAATATCTGCTCTGTAATAGGTTGTATCATTTCTGTAATAGAGCATGTCATTTCTGTAATAGTGGGTGTTATTTCTGTAATAGTGGGTGTCATTTTAAAATTTCAATTTCAAAATGTTATATTTAAAAAACATTAGAATTTTACAATAATTTTTTATTTTAATTTTGAATAATTTTTTGTAGTTTTCCTCCAGCTATTTTCACTGTTTATGACAAATAAAAATGATAATAAAAAAATATGTGCACCCTTAGGTTCAGTGGTTTAAAGCCCTTTTAACCCTGTGATAAAATGATTTTATTTAGAGAGTTTTAAAAAGCCTCAAAATTTGATGCTTTCCAAAAATTGAAATTTGAAATTTTAAGGGTATTTTTATTTGAAAAATTACACTGTATTTAAAAGTCTTTAATGTCTACCATTTACCATCTTCAACAACAGAAAGATAATAATATGTTTATTATTTTTGATTGTTATTTTTTTAAACTTATTTATTCAAAACAACTTTTTATTTATTTAAAACAACTTTTTTTTTATTTCATGCTACAAGTTTTTTTTTTTTTTTTTCCTTTGAAAATTGCTGATTTTTTAAAGTTATGTAAAATGCTTTATTTTGTCTGTTTTAGACCCTGAAAAGTCTGAAAGGTTTATTTCAACATCAAAACAATTAGCAAAGTTGCAAATGATTAATGATTTGCAAGTTAAAAAGCATAAACTTCGTCACAGTAAAGGTACAAAAATATTTTTCCTTTTTCTGACTTTTTGTAATTATCTAGTTGTTGAATCATCTCATGGGTAATATAAAGCTTATAATGTCAATTTAAAATAAAAATTAATAATATTATTAGTATGAATAATAATTATGAATAGATTAATTTTTTTAAATATACTATTTATATAGTATTATATTTATTAATATAAATATTATTTATATTTATCTATACTATTTTATTTATGGGCTTAATCAATTTTACTAGTTTTTAACTATTTATCGTTGTCAGTTATTTTTTAATGTCATATTGTCATCAGTTTAAAGTCATTTATACATCACTTGTTTTAGCTCGTCGATTATTAGAGCTTTCGTCAGAAACAAGCATTAAACCAGTTATCATCAAATCAATTGAAGAACCACCAAAAGAAATTGACCAATCAATCAGTCAGCTCCAAGTAAATTTTTTTATTTTATATTTAAAATAATATTTAAAAGTGAGCAATATTTATTTTTAAATCTAATTTCAATTTTATTTTAATATTTGTTTTTTCATTTTTTGTAGAAGCATTTGAATGATGTGAAGTTGCAAGAAAGAAATATTACAAGTGACTTACTTAAAAAATCTAACAAAAATTTGTACACTATGCCCCAAGCACTAAAATTATTTGTTTTTCTGAATGGTGAAGATCCTAATATCACTAGTGTTGTTTTTGCTAGAACATTTCAGGAGGTGAGTTTTTTTGCTAGAACCTTTTAGGAGGAAAGTTTTTTTGGTAGAACATTTCAGGAAGTGGGTTTTTTTGCTAAAACATTTCAGGAGGTAAGTTTTTTTGCTAGATCATTTTAGGGGGTGAGTTTTTTTGTTCTTGGAATATTTTTATTTTAGAGAAACTTTAATACAGCAAAAATTAGGGTCAGCCTGTGGAAATATTTTTACCTATTTTTATGTTGTGATGGCAAAAAAATTATATACTATATATATATATATATATATATATATATATATATATATATATATATATATATATATATATATATATATATATATATATATATATATATATATATATATATATATAATGAATTATAAAAGCTATATCTAATTAAATTATCAAATGTATGTTTTTTTGAAATTTTAAAAAAGTTTACGGTAGTTTGATTGTATTTGAAATAATTTTAATAAATAATTTTTTTTTTTTTGTAGCTTCTATCTATTGCAACAACTAAATTAAATCTTCCAAGTTGTGCAAGAAGAGTCTTTTCCAAAGAAGGAGATGAGGTAAGACAGAAGGAGATGAGGTAAACTTTTTGTTGGAAATAAAAAGAAAATAAGTTTAAAATACGTAAAAAATTAGAAAAGAATTTTTAATCCCTCATGTGTATTTATGATGGTCTAGTTTTTCAGGTACTATGTTTTGTTTGCTACCATTTTTAATTTTTTACAATATTCCTTTTACCATGCAAATCATTTTTCTGATAACATTGCATACTGTATAAATTATGCCGATATATATAAATTAGGCATACTGAATAAATTATGCATATTATATAAATTAAGACTAAAATAAGCTTTGACTAAATCATCTTTTTTATTATCAAAGACAATAAATAAATAAGTTTTTTTTTTCTTCTTCAAGTTCTCCCATATTGTAACTGATAAAATGTATTTGTATTTAATATTTTATATTTTGAAAATCACCATAAATGGTTGCTTCATTTAAGTTCATTAAAGTTCTTTCATATTGCAAGTACTTAATAGCACTTAATACCTTAAAGTACTTAATACCTGCGATTACCTTAATACCTGCGATAACCGGTGATTATGAAAATTATTAAAGTATTAAAAAAATTTTGAATGACAATATACTATTTTGACGTGGAGAATCATAAACACTGTTGCAGCAGCTCTTGAATCATTCTAATATTTTGAATGTTCTGTTTACTTAACTTTTGATGGTGTTTAGTGTAAAAACAACTTTTAGCAAATTTTTTTTGTAAAAATAACTCAATTTTTAACTAAATTAATGTTAAAAGAAAAAAAAATTAGTATTTTAAGATTCGCCCTTTAATAAATAGAGGGCAAATCTTGTCTATTCTAGATATAGAAGAATTTGACTGTTGTGCCCCTCCACTTTCAAACCCATGTCATTGGACAGAATATACAAATTGCAATTTCACAACTTGGAAAACCAAACACATTTTATTTAAACAACATTTTAATTAAACAACAAAGTAAATGTATAACTTCATTCCATTAATATAAATACAAACTTTAAAACATAAGATAAATTCGAATTTAAAACTTACAATATATGATAAGCTATGGCACTAAAATCAAAATAACAATTGAAAAAATATTGTTATTTACTATTTAAATAATTAGAAACTAAATAAAAAAAAGCAAATGTAAATTTTTTTAAGCAGTAAATTTTAAAGATTCTTTAAAAGTAAATTTAACTTAATAAAATCTAACCTGAAGATCACCACCGGACAACAACACTGTACTAAATAATTAGATTCATGTAAAACATGATTGAGTGTTTAACAAAAAAAAGCTATAAAAAATAAAAAACAACTTACTTATATCTAAAATTATCTTCAGCTTCTATAAAATTAGCAGCTTGTAGAGAAATAATTTCAACACATCACATACAAAACAGAACATGTTTCATCAACTAAAAAATTAAAAAGTCAAACTTTAGTAACTATAAAAACAGATTGAAAAATTACAAAATGCAATTATAAATAAAATTTATAAATAACAGTATATTCAATAATTATAATTTTTACGATAACGATTAAAGAGATACTCAAAGATATTCAGAGATTTATGAAAGTTAAAAAAAGAAATTTAAATACTTATCGTGTGCACATCTGCAGTGCCTCGTGCATCACATGTTAATTATGTCATCAAAGTTATTGATGCGCTCTCGGTTTAGAATGTTTAACAGGGGCGTTGTTGAATAACTGTAAATCTCTAAATTTCCTTATGTTAATATTAAATAGTTTTAACTTTTAATTATTTTTAAAAACAATAAATTTTATAAAATAATTTAATTTAAATATAAAATAAAATTTTTTAATTATGTTCTTAATAAAAACATCCTTTTAAACCCCCTTACCATTTTAAAAAAAAGTAGCAAGTAACAAGCATGGCAAGTTCATCAGCTTGCTTGTTTAAAATGCAAATCAAAAAACTTTATAGTTCTATAGATTCTGTATAAAAACATGTTGTTTACTAGCACGAACTCAACTTAGTTATAAATAAACTTAAATTGTTAATCTAAAATAACAAAGTATCTCAATAATTACACATACGCAAAAAAATTTAAAAAAAGTTGCTGGTAATAGGACTCTAACCACGGCTTTCTTGTTCAGAAGCGCAGCGCGTTAATTACTCGGCTATGCAGGCAGGCTGTTCCTTGAAATTTTAAAACAATATAAAAATTGTTTTTAACGGATATAAATGCTAAGGATTAGAAATTAAGAAGAGTTTGACCCAATGGAGTTTTAAGTGAAAATCAAACTGTAAAGCTTGATATATGTTTAAGCATGTTTTTAAGTATGGCAATAATATATAATAGATTGAATTGATGTATTTTTTTTTTTTTTTTTTTATTTTACTTCACCTCCTCAAGGCCGAAAAGGCCACTACAGACAAGGAGGCTACTTATTTTGTGGCTATAACCCTCTCTCTAAATCTCTCTCTATAACCCTCTGTATTAAATATCAGTTGAACAATTGAATTGATATATTAAATATCAGTTTAATTTATTAGCATTTACGACATCAGACGGTAAATTATTCAGATAATAATATCTCTGAGAGAAAAAAATATATTTACGAGTATTAAGTTGACACTTTGTAGTTTTCAACTTTAAAAAGAAATATTTTAATGACTTTTATTTTCTTTATCCAATATTTTTGTTTAATGTTTTTTATTTTTTGATAGATCTTTTCTATGGACAGCTTAGTTCGTAACCAAACTATATGCATCAGTTGTGGTAATAGGTTTCTAAACCAAGATGGTAAGTAAACTATAATTTGAGGCTAGTTACTAATAAAATTACGATAATGAAATTTAAGATGTTTTGATTTTTTGAAACAGAGAAAAAAAATTTGATTGATTTAAAAGCAAAATGGTCTCGTTCACAAAAGAAAATGTTTTTGGAAGAAACTGAAAATGAAAGGGGTATAGCAGAAAATGAAAGTGTTAAGAGAATAAAAAGTAAAAAAAATGTAAAAAAGGTTTTAAAAGACTATGGAGATGATGAAGACTGTACAAATAAAGGCGACGATGAAGAGAATCAAGATAATGAGGAAGATGTTTGTTTTTTATTTAATTTTTATTTTTATTTAATTTTTTAGTAAATTATGAATCTTATTATATATGTTTTTTGGAATTATATTTTTTAAAAATGTTATATAATATTTTATAAATAATATATGATTTATTATTAATGATATGTGAAGTTTAAGTTGATATGTGAAGTATTTAATTTTTTTAATGTAAATGGTTTTATGTTGCAATCGGGGTTTTTTAGGAAACAATTTTAATGACTTCAGAAGATTTCAGTACTAACATTGATGACAGTGAAAGTATTGCAAATGAAGCCACAAAAAACCAATCAAAACTTCCCTCAAGTATTAGATTTGGATTATCTTTAAGAGTTTACTAAAGATTTTTAGCTACTGAAGAGTTTACTAAAGATTTTCAGCTATTGAAGAGTTTACTAAACAGAGTTTTTTAGTTTAAAACCAAAGAGTTTACATAAAAATGAGAATTTAAAAGAAAATCAAAAGTGGGTTCGATTACTTAAAAAAAAGAAACAACAAAATTGCTAAAATAAAATTGAATTATTAAAACGAATCAAAAACGAAATAATCAAACTTTTAAAACGTAATAATGTTCAATTGATCTGACAAATGTATATTATGGCAAATGGATAGATTTATATTTATGTTTTCTTTTGTATATAAATTTTTAATTAGATGATAATTTATAAAACTTTTTTACTTTTTATTTATTGAATATTTTTAACAAGAAAAATGTAAATTATTACTATATCTTAATTATTGTTATATATGTAGATGACTATATTATTATGTATTTTATATATATATATATATATATATATATATATATATATATATATATATATAAATTTATATCTAAAAGATGTTTTTCCTAAACTTTTTTTAGTTTTTTTATGTTTTCTTTTCTAAATTTTTTTTTAGTTTTTAATTTTTAATTAAATTAAAATATATCAAAGTTTCTTTTCTTTCTTAAAATATAATATTTTAAAGTATTTCAAGTATAATATTTTAAAGGAGACAAAAAAGGATTTTTATTTACAATTTTAAGAGAAATTTTTAAAAAATTTTGTTTAATAAATTAATAAAGTTAATTATTTTTTTGTTTTTGTTTTTTTGTATTTAAACCTCTGGATTTAGGATTAAGTGCAACATCAATACACTGACATTTTTAAGTAACATGCTGTGTTGAAAGATTGACAGTATAAAAAAATACTGATACTCCAGAAATGCTTCTCTGTGGTATTTAACTAATGCTTCAGATATGCAAGTCTGCACTGCTGATACTTCAAAAATGTCTGAAATAAATTTTTATATTTTAAAAATTAAAATAATTAAAAAAGTTTCTACCAATGAAAATTCTTAAAAAGTTAATTCTACAAAGTTTAGATCTGCACTCAAAAACACACATGTAAACCTAAATTCACATTGTTTTATAAACATGAATATGATTTTATAAAGTTTTATACAAATAAATGAATTAGAAATATATACATTTCTGGCATTTTGTTTATATATTGTGTATAGAATTATTTATGATATATTATATACATACACACAGATATAAATGTATATATGTATGCATATATATATATATATATATATATATATATATATATATATATATATATATATATATTTATATTATATTTATATATATACATATATTATATATGCATATATAATTTTTGTTGAGGTTAAAGCTAATGGCATTTTCTGAAGTTACAAAGCGTCATAAAAGATTATTTGAGTTTAATAATTTATCTGCTGTCAAAACTCATCGAGCTCCAGGAGTTCAAGATTTTCAAATATTAAAACCAATCAGCAGAGGAGCTTATGGACATGTATATTTAGCTCAAAAAAAAGAAACTAAAAAATTGTATGCAATTAAGTGCATGAAAAAAAAGGATGTTTTAAACAAAAATATGATGGACCAGGTTGTAGCTGAGCGTGATGCTTTGGCATTATCTTCAAAGTGTTGTTATGTTGTTCAGCTTTTTTATTCATTTCAATCAGAAGATAAAATATTTTTGGTAATGGAGTATATGATTGGAGGAGATGTTAAGTCTTTGCTGCACAACTTGGGTTATTTTGATGTCAAAATGGCTAAAATTTATGTTGCAGAAGTGATATTAGCTTTAGAATATTTACATTGCCATTCAATATATCATAGAGACATCAAACCTGATAATATGTTACTATCAAGCAAAGGCCATATTAAACTAACCGATTTTGGTCTATCTTGTGTAACTAGGAACAAAAAGCCAAATATGCTGGATTTAATTAACACAACTGGTACAATAGGTTCTGAAGAAAGAAATTTTTTTTGGAGAACACCTGGTCAATTACAGTCTCTTACAAGTAACTTTACATTTTCTGCTCCAAGAACAAAAAATTATAAAAGAGTTAACAATACAAAAAGATTAAGCGCTCTTCAATCTATTAAATCTGAAACAAAAAAGTTTTTTTTTAGTCCTCCTCAAAGTTGCTTTAAGAATAGTAGTGTAAGTACTGTGTCTGAATGTTGTTTGTTACCTCAAGAAGATAAAATGTTGTTTAGTAGTTCTCTTTTAAACAAAAATACAGGTTTAACATCAGAAATTACTTCACTTGATTTAAATTCTTTACAGCGTAAACGTACTTACATTGAGTTGGACTCTTCTTTGGATCATGAAAAAGAAAATCGACCAAAAAGAGCAAGGATTTTATCCCACAGTTTGCCATTTGACACAGAAATATTTAATAACTTTACAAATGAAAAATGTCATGTCCATTTTCCTGATTATGATCATGTTATCATGGATAGTAATAAACAGTTTTCTAACCTTAGTGATAAAACAAGTGAACTATATCCTTTCTCCAATGAACTACAAAATTCATCAATTGGAAATATAAGTGGTGTTACAGAGTTAACGGAATCAAGTCATATGAGTATTTCTTTTTCAGGAGATACTGGTCACCTGAGCCCTCGTGTTTCTCAATCAGCCTATCAATCTAGTAATGAAGTTTGTTATAATAACTTAACACCCACTACTGAACTTTCTTGCAATAGAACCAAGTCAATTATTGCAACTACCCCAGTTCAAAACTTGCGCTTTTATGATGGTCATTCGCCTATACTTAGCAGAAATAGCGAAATGTGGGATTTAAAAACACCTGACTGTGGTTCTTTAAATCATTCTTTGAGAAAAACACCATTTCGTACACCAAAGTCATGTATTCGAGGTGCTGCTGCATCATTAGGAAAAAATAAAGTCATAGGCACACCAGATTACCTTGCTCCAGAAATATTGCTTGGGCAACCTCATGGAGCTCCAGTTGATTGGTGGGCCCTTGGAGTTTGCTTCTATGAGTTTCTTACTGGAGTGCCACCATTTAATGATGATACCCCTGACTTAGTATTTCAACATATTCTTGATCATGATATGATTTGGCCTGAAGGAGACGAGGCACTGCCAAATGATTGTATAGATACTATAAATTTTATTCTAACTGAAGATCCAACTCAACGTCCAAAAGCCATTGATCTTAAGACTTTACAGTGCTTTTCTGAAATAAATTGGGCAAACCTGCATAATGAAAAAGCTCCTTTTATCCCAACTCCAGACGATGACTGTGATACAACTTATTTCACTGCAAGAAATCTTGCTACTCATTTAAAAATGTCAAATTTTATGACTTGACAAGAACTTCTATTATTTATTTTTTTTTCTTTAAATCAGAAAAAAATAGTTCAAAGTATTTAATTAAGTAATCTAATAATATTTTTAATAATAAGTTTTGATTTTTTAAATATCTATAATTTTTTAATTAATTTTTTTTTTCCAATTTTTGTTTAAAACCAAAGGTTTTAGTAAAAAGCATAAGTGTATTTACTATATAAGTATGTTTGTATTTATATATTTTTAATGTTGTTTGTACATACCTGAATTATTTAATAGAGCTAGACTTTTTGATAAGTTGTTAAATTTTCGACAAATGTTAACCAATAAGATATTTAAAAAAATAAAATTTAGTTCTTACATAAATATTTTCAATTAATTTATTCAACATCATTTGAATTTACTTTTAACATTTAACTGCAGCACAAAATTCTGTTCAAATCAATATATTAATATTATAGTAAGTATTATGGTATATAGTTTAAAATATATATACAGTACAATCTCTCCAATTCAAATCCCCTTGAATCGAAAACCTCCATAGTTTGATTAAATGCAAAGTCACCGTGTTAAGTGGGTTAAGAAACTCTTACGTTTAACTTTCTATAATTCAAATCTCTATAATTTGAAAACCTCCACAATTTAAATAGATTTTTTTAGACCTGTCAGTAAGATTCTCTCTGTAAATAAACTTCTTTAACTTCTGACGTTTAAAAAGCTTATTAAACTGTTAAAATCTTTTTTCAAATTTTGAATGTTGTGAGTTTTTGAAAAGCGATTAGTGTAACTTATTTTCTTTTTTATCTTCTACTTCTAAAGAAAACAATTTAAAGTGAAAAAAAAAAGCTTTTTAATTTAATTGAAGGAAATAAAAACAAATAAGGAGTTTTCGAAAATTTTTGATATTCTACCATACACTCTTTCAACCTGGAAAAAGAATAAAGATAAAATCCTTGATGCTTTTTGTCAAGGAAATTCTACTAAATGGGTGAAAGTTGATTTGTATTACCTAAAATACAAAGCTGTTTTTAAATGGTTCAAACGAATGAGAGCTTATAATGTACCAATTAGTGGCTTGCTGGTAAAATAAAAAACTTAATATTTTGCGATAGAGTTATGCTTCAAAAATTTTTAAGCTTCGGAAGGATGGCTAACTCATTTAAGAAAAAGCAAACTAATATGGAGATAATTTGACAAAGGCTCTTAAAGATATAAATCGTGTCTTTGACATGAATTTACTAGCTCATGACAGTCTACAATTGCTGACTTTTAAATTTTTTCAAATTTAAAAGTTTAAAACACATAATATATATTGCTTTTAGGCCTAAGAATTACTACTTGTTTGTTTGATTTCTATTTGTTACTTTGAAAATAGTATTTGAAAAAAAGTTTCTATAATTCAAAAATCTCTCTAATTCGAACTTTTATTTTTCCCCATAAAATTCGAATTAGGGAGATTGTACTGTATATATATATATATATATATATATATATATATATATATATATATATATATATATATATATATATATATATATATATATATATATATATATATATATATATATATATATATATATATATATATATATATATATATATATATATATATATATATAATATATATATATATATATATATATATATATATATATATATATATATATATATATATATATATATAATATATAGATATATAGATATATAGATAATATATAGATATATATATATATATATATATATATATATATATATATATATATATATATATATATATATATATATATATATATATATATATATATAGAGAGAGAGAGAGAGAGAGAGAGAGAGAGAGAGAGAGAAAGAGAGATAGACACTCAAAATATAAATACATTAAATAAAGTATGGTGTTTTCTACATTATTTATAGATAAAAAGTAGATTTGCTTCAATAAAAATGTGGCAAATTTTTTCTTTCCTGTATTTTTTCCTGACTACAGCATCTGGAAAGTTGACATGCATTAATGACAATGGAGATTCTGTTGACATGTAAGTTTTTTTAAATATTTTTAACAATTTACAGTTGACGTTTAGATTTTTTTTTATTGTGTTAAGTATTATGTTCTGTCATGTTGTTAGTTTCTTAATTACTTGATTTAGTTTAATGTTTAAGTTTTTATTTTTTTAGTTTGTTTTTTACCCATTTTTACTTTTGGTTAAATTTTTTATTTATTTAATATAAAAAGAAAATTTTTTCTTAACAATTCGTTTGTTTGAAGGTTTATTTTGTATAAGTTGCCTCGAATCAAGACTTACCATGTTCCTGATTTGGTTCATTCAGGCCTAGGTTATGGGTATTTAGATTCACAAACCATGAAGTTTGCTTTGTCTTCTTTTTCTATTGGCGATCAAAACAGTGCTGCTGGAAGAACATTAAACCAAGTCTACTCAAAATTTAAAAATAATGACAACACTGTAGAAGATATAGCACATATATTTTACAATGATGAAAATCCAAACGGTAAACATTGAATTTTAACTAAAATCCTTTTCTCTTAAGGTCCTCTTAAAAATTAATACACCTTAAAATTGATCCTTTTTAAAAGCATCAATTTTAAGTAGTTTTTAAGAGATATAATTTATTATATAATTTATTTTTAAGAGTTTTTTGGATTTAAATTTTAAAATGATAGCAACAATTGTAGTAAATCATGAGCCTGGGTCTAATTGTTTGGTTGATTCACCCTGTATCCATAGTTACTTGTAGTTTCAGAGGTTTACTTTTTTTAACATTTTTAAAGTTTAATATTTTAGGTGAACCTTTTTATAAAGATTGTGGTCACACTAAAGGAGCTGTGGCATTTGATCAAGAAACAGGTTTTTGGATGATAACAAGCGTTCCAAAATATCCTTATGCTGCAGCCGAAGGTTATTCTTATCCAAGCACTGGTTGCATGTATGGTCAAATGTTTTTGTGTGTTACCTTCAATACAAGTATGTTTGATACAATTGGCTTACAATTGAGATTCAATGATCCTCATATCCATGATTCAAATTTTCCATCTTCTTGGGAAAGTTTGTTCCCTAATGTAAATAAAGCTTTAAAAGGTAAGAGTTTTATAAAATTAATTTGAATAAAGGATTGTAGTTATAATTTGAATTTTTCAAATTTTTATTTTATTTTTATAATATATATTTTTATTTTATTTTATAATATATTATAATATATTTTTTGTAAAAAGTTTTTTCTTTTCTTTTTTGTCTAAGGGGACTGATCCAATCTGATAAATATGTTGCCTTTAACAAAAGTATATATATATATATATATATATATATATATATATATATATATGTATATGTATATATATATATATATAATATATATATATATATATATATATATATATATATATATATATATGTATATGTATATATATATATATATATATATATATATATATATATATATATATATATATATATATATATATATATATATATGTATATATATATATATATGTATATATATATCCTTATAGTAAAGTCGAAAGAGACTTTTATGGTGAAAAAACTTTTGACTATAATTTTTTTACCTTGTCTCTTAAGCTGCATTTTATTGTCGTCGAAATGTCAAAGCAATTAAATTAATGCGGAAGTACATTAAATTTTATTGTTTTTTAAAAAAACCGCAATAATAATGACTAGAAAGTTTTTTTTTAATTAGTGGTGTTTTTGTTTTTGTTTTATTAAAAAACATTTTTAAAAACTCTGTTAGTGTTGCTATATTGACTATCTTATAGCCTGCTGCTACAAGGGAGTGTTGCTACATCGACTATCTTATAGCCTGACTCGCAACGGAGTGCTGCTACATCAATTGACAGTTAGCCTGACTCGCAAGGGAGTGCTGCTACAATGACTGACAAATAGCCTGACTCGCAAGGGAGTGCTGCTACATTGACTGACAAATAGCCTGACTTGCAAGGGAGTACTGCTACATCGACTGACAAATAGCCTGACTCGCAAGGGAGTGCTGCTACATCGACTGAGGGTTTGGTTTGGGCAGGCAGTCTATCATTTATTTTTTTTTTAATTTTTTCAACATTCTCTGGTCAGGCTTATTAACGAGCTCTTTAAAACAACTGTTTACGGGAAAAACTTTGTGACTACCATGCAAGACTATATATATATATATATATATGTATATATATATATATATATATATATATATATATATATATATATATATATATATACATACATATATATATATACATATATATATATATATATATATATATATATATATATATATATATATATATATATATATATATATATATATATATATATATATATATATATATATATATATATATATATATATATATATATATATATATATATATATATATATGATTTAGAGTTAACATTATGAAAGTTAACATTATTTATGGAAAGTTAATATTATGGTTCTTATTATTTTTGAAGGCATTATTTTTTATTTTTTATCATAAATACATTTGAAAGTATTTTTCATTAGACATTAGGATATGTTGAACAAAAAATTATATATAAATCATATAACTACCTCTTTTTTGCATATTTTTTATATAATTTATGTTATTTAAATTAAGGTGACATGATCAAAGAATCACCATTTACAAACTTGGTAGAGTTGACATCTTTGGCAGGAGTTAAGTTTTTAAGCTTTGCAAAATCAGGAGGATTTGATCATGATTTGTATCGAGATTTTGTTGCTCCATCATTAAAAAGCAATATTCTTACAGAAACTTGGCAACATGGTGCTGTGTTAAATTCTTCTTGCAATATCAAATATACAGTTGAAGATATTATAAAGTTAAATGTACAATTGGGTGATCTTGATTTTCCTTTTCCCAATTTTGATGACCATTCTAAGTATGTTGTTGGGAAGACTGAAGACTCCCCCTATGTTTGTGTTGGGGATATTAATCGTGCTGTATGTATTTATTGTTATTTTATGTAAACAATTATTTTTAATTGTATTTGTTGTATGCTCAATGAACTCTCTTTCTTTTTTAGTATGCTCAAGGGTACCTCTAAATTTTTCTTCTTTTCAGTATGTTCAGGGGTAGGGTAGCTCATAATTTTATCAAAAGTCTGTTTTTAAAATTCATAACAATTTGTCATCTATATCTAAAGAATCTTTTCCACCTTCTTAGTTTACTAATTAGTTTTATTAATTAGTGTCATTAATTAGTGTCATTAATTAATTTTTAAAGTTATTTAAACTATAATTAGTGGAGTTAAAACATTCTTCTTCACATTAAAATAATTTTATTACAGGAAAATCTACTTGTCAGCTAATTTTTCTATGGAACCTGAATTTTCTTTTTATAATTTAACATTCACGGTGTTGTTTTGATGGGATTTCAATAATTGTCATTTTCTTTTTTATATTTAAATAATGGAAGTTATAAAGCAATTTTTGATATTCTATTGGATATTGGACACACTTTCTAACATTAATGTGTTAAGCAACTTTAGAATAATTTTATTTCTAGTTTTTTATATTTTAAGTAAGGGAGTTGGAGGCACCTGTGAACAAGGGAGATCGAGGTAGCTTTGAACTGCTTTGAAAAAATGCTCAAAGTGATTTAAGCATTTTTTTTCAAAAAGGATTACATTGTGAAGACAAAACTTATCTTCGCCTTTTTCCATTAAATTTATTGACATTTGTCCAATCTACTTTGATGGCAATGCTGTGTCCAATCTATTTTAATGCAGCATTCTGCCCAACCTACTATAATGGCTCTTATTATAATCTTCTTATTATAAAAACTCAGTAAAACTGTGTCGATCAATTGGGATGCTAGCCAAAATTCGTCATAATATCAATTATGAAACTCAACTCAATATATCCCATACAATTTTTGGATCACATTTCAAAAATACTTTTTATGTTTTTAGAATAAAACCATTTTTAAAGCTTTTCATGTTTTTTTGTTTCACGCTTACTTAAGATTATTTAACCTATTATTTAAAAATTTCGACAATATTGTTCGAATTCTAACCTTCTTTACTTTCTATCCAAAATACTCAAACTATGTTCATCTATTAAATTGTTTATTTGTCTGGTATCATAAACAAATAAACCTAGCCCCTCATTCTCTAATTTTTTTACCACTAAAAATATTTATTTTTATTAACTTTTCTCAAATCGGTTCGATCATTTAGTATTTATACTATTTGTAAATATCCGTGTAATATATATATATATATATATATATATATATATATATATATTATATATATATATATATATATATATATATATATATATATATATATATATATATATATATATATATATATATATATATATATAAATTAGTATAAAATCACTTGGCAAAATTTTTTCTCATTTAACACTGTGTTTCATCAATAAAGACTCGTCAGAAATGGATTCATTTCTGATGAGTCTTTATTGATGAAACACAGTGTTAAATGAGAAAAAGTTTTGCTAAGTGATTTTCTACTAATTTGTAATTGCTCTGTACTTTTAAGAACATTGAGCACTCTTTTTGTAGAATACATTTTAAATTGTTTATATATATATATATATATATATATATATATATATATATATATATATATATATATATATATATATATGTATATATATATATATATATATATTTATATATATATATATATATATATATATATATATATATATATATATATATATATATATATATATATATATATATATATATATATATATATATATATATATATATATATATATATATATACATAAATATACATATATATTTTCACGAAACCTATTTAGCCAACGCAGTTTGTTCGTGGTGGTGGAACGTTGTGCTTAAAGGACGTAACCATATGGAAAGTATTTCGATCGTTTGTGGTAGAAGATGAAGAGTGCAGTTAACGATTTTTTTTTTTTTTACTTTTGCTGATTAAATTTTTAAAATTTTTTAACTGTAATAAAATGTTTTTACATTTATTTTTTTAATACGTTTTAAAATTAATAAAATATAAAAATGTTTGTGTCATAATAATAGTTATATTATGTTTGTAAATTTTTTAAAAAAGTTTTTTCTCATAGTTAATATAATAAATCTTTTATAGTTTTAAATTTCATTTAGTTCCTATTTTTATTTCAAAATTAAAGTTTTAAATTTCATATTCCATGTGTTATTATTTAAATATTTTTTGCTGATTGTTATAATCATTGTTATATTAGTGTTTTTACTTTTTTTGTAATTTACAAAATTTCCATTAACAATAATTTTATATAAAATGTAGATATAAAAAATAAGTTTTTACAAATAAATTAATATAAATGTATTATATATTTTTTGTGCAAAAAAGCAATTAATAATTGCGCAACATATTTTTCTGTAAATAACTGCGCCCCTTTTGCTTAGCTCAGTAAAAGTTCGTACCTTTTTTAGGTTCTTATAAAGCGGATTATAAAATCTTCAATTCAATGCAGATTTTTTTTAATTTTAAAAAAGAATGAGCATGTAAACTTCGTTGAAAACGTATTTTCAAATTAGGTTTTAAAATGTAGTATACCGTAAAATCGTCACATGGTAGTATACCGTAAAATCGTTATGTAAAATTTGGTCACATAAGCTTTGAACATTCTTATCTCTATATATACTGTATAGTATGTATAGAGATAAGAAGAAAAAAGAAAGAAAATTCAAAATGTCATAAAAGTCTTTTATTTTAAAAACAATCGTTAAAAAGTTTCGTTCGTTCTAGTTGAAAGGTCAGCCAAACTTCATTTTAGCAGAAACTTCATTTAACAGAAACATAAAAATAATTTTTAAAGTTTAAAATTATTCTCATTATAATAGAAAAAACTTGATTGCAACTAAAGCGTTGCTAAGGATTCATAAATTTATGTATTTAACTAAAAACATAAATATCACAAAAAAATATAAAATAAAAGTAAGATTTTTTTCCAAAAAAATTTTATTATTATTATTAATTTGTACCATTTGTAACCACCATATGGAGCCCAATTAGTCCATGATCATATATACTCTTCATATGTTTTTAGAGGCGTATTTTTTAGTCTTTTTTAGTATTCTACAAATTTATTTCAAGACAACTGTTTTAACATGTGTGCTCTACTCAAGGTTACATGTAAAAATGACTATCGAATCACGCTGTTTAGTAGAGCTTATTAGGAATTGACTTGTTTTTTATTTATTTTGCAAAATCTAATTGTAATAGGGTTTGGTTTGACCGTAATGAATAACTCAGCATTTTGAAATGTTTAACTTAAGTAATCAAAAGTTTGACTACTCGTATGCCAAGAACAATCCAGCAGATCAACATAATTAGTCTGCGATGTTTTAGAAAAATATTTGGTGTAATGGATTAAGGATTTTTTAGTGATTAAAATATCTAACTTCCACCCATGGAGCAAACTCCAAACAACAAAACATTAGTATGTTTATACCGATGTCAAATAATGAGGTTGTGCAAAAAAAAATGCGATGATTGGAGGCTGGAACGAAAAAGCCTTATGGCTTCATCCACCTTCTCCCAAACGTGAGGGGCAACAAGTTAATAAAAAAAATTTCAATCATTACCCACTCGTCCGAAGTCATTAAAGATAAACTATTTCAAGTTTCAATAAAACAGGGTATTTTTCTCAACAATCAAAAAATAGAGTTTCACCAATATTTAAAGGGGGTGATGCAACCTATGTTTCAATTTAACGCCCAATCTCAATTTTCTCAATTTCAAATTAACGCCCAATCTGAATTTTTTGAAAAATCTCAATATACGTTTGGTGTTTTCATCGATTTATCAAAAGAGTTTGATACCATTGACCACAAAACCTATTTTAAAAAAATGGAATATTATGGAATTAAAGGAAATATTTTAATGATACTTAAAAGTTATTTATACAATCGTAAACAGTTTGTTTACAGTACTACAACTGTTTCTTCCAATTTATTAGATATAACATGTGGGGTTTTTCAAGATTCTATACTAGGACTTCTTCTTTTCCTAATTTGTATTAATGATCTCCCTAAAGCCTCAAATTAAATGACGGTCAGGTTTGCCGATGATACTTATCTTTTTTTATATCATAGCAACATAACAACATTTTTTCAAAAAATGAATATTGAATTAATAAAAGTTTCTGTCTGGTTTAAAATGAATAAGCTGTCACTAAATGTTGAGGAAACTAAATGGATACTTCATCAAACTTCTAAAAAAAAGCTACTGCCTCCTGCCATGTCCTTACTTTTTATTGACACAATTCAAATAAAAAAAGAACTAGCTATTAATTTTTTAGGAATAAATATTGATAAAAACTTTAGTTGGAAGTATCACATTGATTTGTTGTGCAACAAAGTTGCTCGAAATATAGGAGCAGTGTACAAAGCTAGAAGTGCAACCATAGGTAAATGTAACCAGTTTACAGCGTTACAATTACCTTGCGATGATACAATAATGCTCTGTGGAACATAACGTCTTGTGGACTGTATTGATGTAATGAAACACTTGTTGTATTTCACTTCTTGTATTGATGTTCTTCGATAAAACACTTTGATAAAACTCACTTCGATAAACTGTCATGATAATACTGACTGATTGACTTCCATATACTGACTGAATTACATGTCGGTTCACATGCCTCTTATATAGTAAAATGAACCTGTGTGAACCTGTTCTGGAAGATTTTAGATGCTTTTTTTCGATGCTTCTTTTCGATGCTTCTGGAAACTTCTGGATGCGTCTGGATGCTTCTGAATGTTTCTGGATACTTCTGGATGCTTCCAGATGCTTTTTCTGGAAACTTCTAGAAACTTCTGAATGCTTCTGGAAACTTCTAGAAACTTCTGGATACTTCCTTTAATTATTAAAAAACTTCCGTGACGTTGACACGGACCAGACTTAAGAAAATGAAACAAACCAAAAAAGTTGCACTTGTTTAGTCCGCTCCAAAATGACACTTGTCAACGAAATTCTGCCTGTGTGCTGTCACCTGTCAGCTGATTGCTCATGTCATGGTATGCTATGACTCCAGACTCCTGAACTGTTTGCTGTGGTAGTATAGTTCGTTTCGTTTTTAAGACGTGTAAAATTAGGAACACTTTTTAGCATTGTTCGATGTTGGTTGCAAATGTTTTATCCAATACTGTATATACCTTTAAAAAAATAAAAATAAATAGGGTCGTTTCCACACATAGCGTGAGTCGACACTTATCGTAGGTTTTAAATACTAACATAAATTTTCCAATAAATAGTAATTATTTTTTTTTATATATATTTTGTTTATTAACAACATCGTCATGCACTTCTATTACAATACATAGAAACCGCAATACATAGTTACTTATATGAACTCGGTGGGTTTATTACGTCAGCCTATGAAAATACTTTTTTTTTAAGTACCAGCTGTTAGAAGCGTTTCAAATAAAACAAGGTAATTTAAGAAGATAACATAAAGTTTTATTTCTAAATTGATTTAATTAGGTAAATAAAACATGGATCATTATTAATATTATTAAAACCACTCATCATTATAGTATCAATGTAGTATTTTTGAATATACAATAAGTATGAACTAAAAAAAATGTCACTCCATATATATCGTATGTCCAATAAAAAATCAACTTGGTTTTTTTTACATAAAAAAAAAAATATTTCACTTTAATATTTTTACAATGGCAAGACAAAAATATAAGACAAAAGTTTGTAGCTCAAAACAAAGACTTCAATATACAGATAGCCCTCATCTGAAACATATAAGACCACAATTTTACCTGATGAAATACAACAGGGTAATAAAAATCTATCAATCAATTATATATTCTGGAAAAAAAGATCTAACTTCCATGGTTGTTACAAATAGTTATAAAAACTAATTTAAAGTAAAAAACCTCTTTTTGATGATATAAAACATATTATAGACACATAGTTATAGAGATAATAAAAATAGCAATAAATTAACAAAACAACAATAATAAAAATAATTAATTGTATAATAATAAGAATAACAATAATAATATTACCAGTAAGTATAATTAACACCCAATAATAATGATTAAAAAACATGATAATAATAAATACAATACATATATAACGAAATTGTTAAATAAATATTTAATAGAAGGAAGGTTCATTAATTACGTCAACAAAAATTATAAAAACCAGTAACTAAAAGAATTCAATCAATACAATCTTCCATACAACAATCAATTATATATACATAGTTACAGTTACAAACAGTAATAAACTGACAAAACGTAACTAATAACGATGACATAAAAACGATTATCGATAAAAGAATACAAAGACTCGATAAATATAATAATTTTAGTTTTTATAATATAATAACAAAAATATATTGTGTGTATAATAAACAAATAAAGAATATATAAACAAAAAAACACTTATTATACATAAAATTAAGGTTAATAAAAGTAAAAAAATGCAAAAAATTACAGATCAATATTAACAATGTATTCGCTAAACATAATTTAAAAGTTTTTTCTTGTTCTTTTCTTTTAATGACATTATTGTTTCTGATAAACTAACGTAATTCATTTCGTATTTTTTTTTTTTTTTTTTTACTCTACATTTTCGAACTATTTTTTCTTTTAACGAATCTTTTTTTTCTATTTGGTACGTTATTTTGACTTGCTTTTTATCTTTATTTGTTTATATCTTTTGATCTTGTTTTTACTTTATTTTGTTTTATAATTTGATATTTTTAAAATGGTATTTTGATTTTTTTTCCTCCAATTTATTTCTTTCCTTTTTTGCCGTTAAACAACTTGTAATTTAGAAAATCATTTGTAATTTATCAACAACTTGTAATTTAGAAAATGTGCAAGTTAAAACCGGTAAGGAAATGCCTGATTGCAATATTGCAGCGGTAATAGAACCAAAACCAGCTTGTTCTAGTTTAAAAATAGCAGCAGAAATCATAAATCCAAT